TTCAAACTACAATAACGTGGACTACGTTGCCGTAGTTTTAATGGATGTTCACTAAAATTTTCTTCTAAAATTTTATAAATCTAATGTGATTCATCAATGGTTTTGATAATGGGGGTTAAATCACCACGCGGCACGGGCGCAAACTCTTTATCACAAATATATTTATGTTGTTCTAATAAGGGAATATGAATTAAGACATTGTTTATGCTTAATGAAATGACTTTTTTCCTGTATTTGTATTGAAAGGTATTTATATATAAAATTGTTTCCAAGTAGGAAATCTCCATGCATTACGGAAAATATAAAATTTTTGGTATAATGAACTTGCTATCATTTAACCAAATAACTATATTTTTAGCCTTGAATTGTATGAAAATATGGTTGCCATCAATTCTAGTAACCAAAATTGGATGTTTCATTAATGTCCATTTTTCTTTTGGTATGGCATTCCATTTACATGAGCTAACTGTAGCTCTTGTATCTATGAGAACACTGAGGCTATGGATTTATAACCTGCAAAATTAAATGTTCCCAATACATATGTGTATCTTCTTTTTCTTTGGCTAGGAGAAAAAATAATATCATCTTTTTTTGTTTGAAAATGATACATATATGCAGACTTAATATGGTCAAGTTGTCTTCTTGTTCTTGGGAAAATAGGAATCTGAACATTGTTTGAAGTAATAGATCCTTGATTAGAATTATTACTTGATTCTCCAATGCTTAGTTTTGAAAATGATTTGTTAGGAAAATCTTTTTCAAATACAGAAGTTGGTCTTTTAATTTTTGGAACTATATTTTCAATATATAAATTTTTTCCTGATACTTGCATTTGTAATTGTGCATGATTTTTTTATTTTAGAAGATTCTCCTTGTCCCACTAGGTCATGGATTAACCATTGTCGAGGGACTTCTAAATCGCTCCAATTCATTAGATGAGGTTGTGTTACCGTGCCAAATGGTCTTGGTTCAAAGATTTCGATGATTTTATTATCGTTTGATCTTGTTTTTATTTCAGAAAATTTGGTTAATTCATGAATTGTTTTCCAACGAATAGCCAAATCATGGAAATTTGATTTCATTCACAATCCTTGTGTTTTAATTCTTATTTTAACTGTGTCTTCAAGATTATGATCATTTATGGAAATAAAGAAATTTGGTCTAACATTAAACCAAACTACTCCATTAGCCAAATTAGATTGGATTCCTCCAATGATTGCTTTTATTGGATTGGAAAATCTTTTGTCAAAAATTACTGTCAAAATAGGAGTATCTATCCCTTGGTGAAATATGACTGTTATGGTTATTTGAATTAATCCAATATGAATATATTGAATTTCGGGATATTTCTTTTTCCATCTTGCAACCTTTTTTTTTTTATCAAAAAAAAGAATATCAATATTTCATTCTTCTGACCATTTTGCTTGAGTGTTACCACTGTATTGTTCAAACGCTCTTACTGAAAAGAAGTTAAATTTTGAAAGCTTATAAATTTCTGGAACAACTTCTTGCATTTTTTCAAATTTTGCTAATTCTTCGTCAGTAAAAGTTTTTTCTTCTCCGATTACATCTTCAAGTCGAATGGCTTGTAATTCTTCTTGAGGTATACTATATGCTTCTTGAGATATTTCTTGACTATTATTAGTCATCATAAAGATTTGTTCTTCATCTGAACTTTCTTCATCACTAGAAATTTCATATAAAATTTCTTCTTCATCAGAAGTTTCTTCGCCATATATTATTTCAAAATCTTGTTCCTCAAGAACTTTGATCATTTTCTTTGCACTGTTTTCCCTTTTTGGGCATTTGGGTGCATAGTGACCTTCTTCGTTACAAATGTAACATTTACAAATTTTTTTTTTTGAAACACATGATGGTTTCTTTTTTCGAATTTACTTTTTTTTTTTGAAAAAGTTTTATTCTTTTTCCAAGGTTTCCATTTATATTTTCTGCATTTTTTGAAAAATCCTTTTCGTTTAGGAAATGTATTACAACCAATTTTTCAAATTTCTTTCAAAATTTTATCACAACATTTTTAACCATATTGTGAGTTGGAAATTTGATTTTTTATTTATTTTTTCGTCTTTGCTTCTGGACACCGATCTGCTATTAGTCTTAGAACATAATTAATGCGAAAATCAAGATTATCATATTCTTCTTTCCCCATTTTTTTGAGAAAATCAGGATATGTTTTAATACATAACTCATCCCATGGATTAGGGAGTTTATGGAAAAATTGATCTAACCAAGGTTGATTTGCTGGTAGATCAATAAGATAGTAATATTTTTTAAAAGTTTGAACATAGTCTTTAAAAAGATAAATATTACATAATTCTAATTTAGTCAAAATATAATTTGCATCTGCTTGCAAATTAGCATCTCCTGCAAAACCACATAAATTTTCTTTTATGATTTTTGCAAACTCAGCTAAATTGTGTCAAGTGTGAGAAAATTTGTCAACAAAGCCATTTTTTGACTTTTTTCAATTTTAGATTTTTCCTACTGTCTTAACCATTGCCACATATCTCCTTGGAGAGTTGTTGCAATATAATCAAGGAATTTTTCCTTTGACTAACTATTTTTATAATTGGTAATAATGATGGAGAAGGATTGTGCCCAATCATTAATTGCTTGTTCCTGATCCTTAAATGGAACACAAGACCAGTCTAAATAAGTACCATTTTGAGCTATTGGATAATGGTTTGGAATGATCTAAATAAGTGCACTTTTTGACTTTTTATGAAATATGGGTTGAATATGAGTTGGGTTTGAAGTGATGTGAAATATGGGTTGAATATGAGTTGGGTTTGAAGTGATGTGATAGAGAAGTGATATGACTTAAATAAGATAATGTGACTTAAATAGGATAGTGACTGTCTGACTTTTTAACTTTTTTCGGTTATGACAAACAATGCCTTATGATTATTATCTTTTCTAGATATTACTGGCTTAGGTGTAGAATTGGAGGTACTTCCAGTGTGAGTATCATTTTTAATTTCATTTGTTTGAATAAAGTCAAAATTTTCTCCATCTCCTTATGTGCCAAATAATTCGGGATCAATTGGCTCTTCTGCCTTTCTTTTCCATTTATTTATTTTTGGTGAGATATCTTGATCTAATGTTTCTTCAGATGAGGATGATTGGTTGTCATCATCATTAGTTGACATATTAATATCATAATTAAAGTGTTGTAAAAGGGTTTCATGTTCTAAATAAGTTTCTCTTATCTGATCTAGTAGGTTATTTCTTTCATCAATACCTAAATCTAGATCTTTATATAATTTTCTCCAATATTTCAACAATATTTTCATATCCCACTAATGCCTCATACACCCAGTTGGCCCGACCCCCAGTGACACCCAGTGAGGTGGCAATTAATATCATAATTAAAGTGTTGTAAAAGGGTTTCATGTTCTAAATAAGTTTCTCTTATCTGATCTAGTAGGTTATTTCTTTCATCAATACCTAAATCTAGATCTTTATATAATTTTCTCCAATATTTCAACAATATTTTCATATCCAGTCCTATTATAGGTATTGGTTTGAAGTACCATAATATCTTCTGTACCATAAAATAGCCTAGGAATGTAATTATCTCCTGGACTATTGATTCCATCATTGTTTATAAAGGATATAGTTGTAATTTTGTCACAAAATTTTTTATTTGGTTTTTTACTTCTTTGTTTAAGTCAATATTTATTATAAAACCCAAATTGTCTATTTTAGATTCTATAGACTTAACTTTGGTTTTTAGATAATTTTGATTTATTTTTTTATTTTTATCTAATTTAGAAAACCAAGAACACATAATATCAGTAATATTATTTAAATTAGAACACACACTATTTATATTTGCAATCTCTTTAGTAATATGCAAACTATGGACATATTTATTATTAACAGTATTTTTTGTATTTCCAAAGCATATTATATGATATTATATCTTCAGGGTTAATTGTCATTATCGATTGTTATTTGTGTGGGTGATTTTCCGAACACACTGCCCGCTTAGTAACCAGCTGGAGAGCACTGGCAGAATAGATGGCACCTGACTGACCTACAACAGAAATATAAGAATCCCGCGGTGGTTTCGACCACCCGGGGGCACTCCGACGATCAAGTCAGTATATCTCTCAAAGATAAATCAAGTACTAAACTCACAAGCTTGAGTATCAAAAGCATACCTTAGACCCATGGGGGTGCCTCTCTTTTATAGCCAATACAATCCTAGTCCCAATAGGAGCCTGGCCCTAATGGACTTAGGATTACTGCTAATCTGGGACTCCCAGTGGGATTAGGATAAAGTCTTATCCTTACCCAAACTGAAGTCTTCTCCCAATCTAAGACTCTTGTCCATATCCAAGTTGAGTTCCCTCTTCATTCTAGAACTCTTGTCCCTTATCCGCTTATCTCGGATTCCTATATCTTAGGAGGCAACCTCGGTCTAGCCGAGATGACCTCGGCACAACGACCAAGACACGTGGCACCTCAGCTGACACGTCGGCGTCACCTTGCCACGTGTTGGTACTCAGAAAATATATCCCCACATTATTGATACCTAAGACCCTCCTAGTATATTTATCCGGTGCCTGAAACCTCTTTTTATGATCTTAAAGACTTGATTATGGCCAAGAGTCAAAAAATCTTAATGAGTCTATGGGCTTTGACATACACTAAGTATATAGGTTTTACAACAACTATAAATGAAACAAATAATTATAAAGATATAAAATACAAAGGATACACAATTAAAAACTTTGATGATTTTTTTTAATATTTTTTATAACATAACGAACACTATACACACTTATATATATCAAAAATTTAGACGTAGAGAGAAATATTTACATAGTTTGATCTTGCTTTCAAAAACTCTTCACCAGGCTCTGATAACGATTACAAAACAAAAAAGGAAATGAGCTTTCTACTATTTTTATTATGAAATTATGATGGAGTTATGGAGTTAAGAGAAGTTAGAGACGAAGTTGGAAGCACAAAGATGGAGAGAATTTACATTGTTTATTATGTTGGCGTCAAAGCCAATTTATAGACTACATCTTACATATATAAACAAAAAAGTCATCAAGGCTTTTTTTGATTTTCCAAAGGCTAGAAGGAAAAAAAGTCTAACATAATTAAAAATCTAAATAATAATAATGATAAGAACTTTTTAATTCATATTTTCTGACAAGCTTCTACAGTTTCTACAATTATATTAAGCCACACTTCACTCTTTGGTTCTGCTTCCCACCTGTCTTCTCTGCTCAACTGCATTCAAACCCTTTCAATAAAGACTCATGATTATGATTAAAATAACAATGACGTTAGTGAATGCCAAATTGTTAATTTGGAACTGAGATGTGTTAAAACTCATATTAACATGGTCTAGGACTACAAATTTGTAGAAAATACCAAAATAGTTGCTTTTGGTTTTAATAACTCAAAGAGATCAGAATTAAAAGTTCTTTCCCATTTGTAATTCTGAACTCAAGTATTTATTAATTTTCTATAATCTAGATTTTCCTGTATTGTTTCTTTTTAAGAAATCTAATGTTTTTCAGTTAGTATAATATTTTGTAGCCACTTCACTATAAGATCCTGAACTATTAAGATTACGTAGATTAAAACAAAAACTGAAAATTGAAGAAGAAATAATCTTTTTATAAGAAAAACGGAATAATTGACAGTACTACTTCGAAGATTGAATGATTAATCTTTAAGCTCCGATGACAATATTGTTATGGAGAATTTGACAGTACTTCTCTTCCTGCGTGCGTGTGCGTGTGTGTGTGAGAGAGAGAGAGAGAGAGAGAGAGAGAGAGAGAGAAGGCAGACAGACCTTTGGAGAGTCAAAATCATCCTCTAAATGTGTCCTTCTGGAACTTCCTCTGTAGCCAAGCTACCTTGAGTGCTATTGTTACCATTAGTCTGTTGTAGATGTTGTCCAGGAACGAAAAGTATGCATGCCTCCAAGACTGTTTGAAATGTAGGGTGGTAGAAACTCCTAAGAAGCCAAAGAAGAAACCAGGTCCAATTCCAGTGTAGAACCACAAAAATTCAGAATCATCTCCATCTTTACGCTCACCAATATGTATGTGGTCACCATCACGCGATTTATCACTATGACAACTCTTCAAGATTGGTACTCCACAGAGTCCGTCATTGCCAATATAAATGGACTGATCGTCAAGGGTTTGAAGTTGATCCCCTGTTGGTATTCGCCCTGATAAATTATTGAATGACAAGTTTAAGTGACTTATATAGTTTAAAGTAGACAAGCTTGGAGGAATTGGGCCAGAAAACTTGTTTCTTGACATATCAAGAGACTCCAATTGTTTCAAATCACCAATCCTCTCAGGGATCCTTCCTTGTAGATGATTTCCAGCCACATTAAAACTTCGTAACCCCAAAAGATCCATCATCTCTTTTGGAATTTCTCCAACTAGGTTATTGTTTGAAAGGTCTATGGATGTGAGATATGTCATTGTTTTGGTATACTCAAGGTCTCTTCCTTTCATAGAATCAAAAATGTTTTCTTGGTATTCGGTATACACAAGGAAACCCGGTGCCCACTTACTCAAGGTCTCTAATATTTCCAGATATATTATTTTGCGCCAAGTTTAATAGTTGAAGGGAGGAGAGACGACAGAGTTGTGGAGGAATGTCACCATAGAAACTATTTGATCGAGGACACAAAAGTTTCAGCTTAGATAGTTTTTCTCCAATCCATAGAGGGATGCTACCATGGAATGCATTTTGACCTAGATCAAGGGTGACAAGATTTGTCAAATTTTGTAACGATGAAGGGAGCCTCCCACGAAACCTATTGTGGCGCAAGTGCAAGGATATGAGTTGCAGAGAGCCCAAAGAAGTTGGAACGCGACCATGTAGACTATTGTTTGCCAGATCTAGTACCCGCAGTTCTTGCAAATCCCCCATGCATTGAGGGATTTTCCCTGATAACTGATTGTTTGAGAGATCAATAACATGCATAGTCTTTATCTTGCACAAATATGCAGGAATTCTGCCATTCAAACGGTTATTTGAGAGAAGAAGAAATATCAATCGCACCTCCCTATCATCATCATCATCAATGAGAGAAAGGGGACCTGAAAGTAAGTTGTTGGAGAGATCTAGGGAAACAACGTCTGAAGGAAGTGGAGTTAATGGGCCCTCATATTTGTTGGAGTTCAGAGTTAATAGCCTATGAGGCCTATTAGATTCTTTAAATTTTGGCAGTCTTCCACTAAGTTGGTTGTGAGAGAGATCCAAGTGGTTGACATGGGAATACACATTCTCAAACCAATCAGGGATGGTTTCTGAGATGCTTGCATTAGACATGATTAACTCCTCAACATGTCTTTGTGTTTGAAGCCAAGGAGGAAACTGGGGGCCCCAACATGCAAGATGCCATTTTAATGACTTCTAGTTGGAAAGGAGGAATCCAATTGGAGCTTATATTGTTCAAAGCTAAAAACGTTAGAAGACAAGGACAACTCCTTCAAACTAACGAGTCTAACAAAATGAAGTTCAGATACCATGCCGCCAAACGAATTGTTAGAGATATCCAACTTTTTTAGCTTTGAAAGTTGTCCAATACTTGTGGGAACACTCCCATTCAATTTATTACTGCTAACATCTAACTCTCTCAAAAACGATAGTCTTCCAAGGGACACTGGGATCGGACCATAAAATGAGTTTGAAGCGAGAGAAATGTATTCAAAAGAAGTTTGATTTCCAAGGCAATGAAGAATTGAACCTTGGAAGTTATTAAAACTGAGGTCCAAGTAAACAGGGTTGCTTAAGTTACACAATGAATATGGCATTGTAGTATTAAAAACGTTACCAGAAAGGTCAAGGACAGTGAGAGAGGTTAACTTTGCGAGAGTATCTGGCAACGGACTATGAAGAAAGTTGTCTCGTAGATCAAGATACCGCAAACTTGTCAGGTTTCCAAGGTGGCAGGGAAAATTTCCCTTGAAACCCCGCAAAACTGAGGTTTAGATACCTCAAGTTTTTTAAAGAGCCCAACAATTCCGGAACTTGGATTCCAACAAAGTTATTCATGCTCAAGTCCAAGTAATGCAAATGCTTCAAATCGAGTAAAGAAGGGTTTATCTTACCTCCCAACCCATAATTGGCATCATCAAACAAAGTTGGATTGCGAAGATCAAGCTTCATGACATGGCCTGTTCTTTTGCTGCAGCCCACTCCTTTCCATGTGCAACAATTTTGTCCAACCCACAACGACAGGTGGTTCGAGTGATCTTTGAGGCTTCCCTTGAAGTTGAGAAGAGCTTTTCGCTCGCTCTCTATGCAAATTTTGTTTGAATTTGTTCAAATGAAAAGAAGAAGAAGAACAAAAAGTAACATCACAACAACATTACTAGTTGTTTTCATGGTGTCTAGTGAAGTAGAAATATCTGAAACAGCAATGCTAGGTATCATGAAAAATCTTTCATGAAAATAATCATGAAAGTTTTGTGACCTTTGGATTACACTTAGAATAAAGCACAACACACTAATCAAGGTAATCCAATGATCATAACTCTTTCATGATCATTTTTATGAAAAAAATTTCATGATCCCTAACTTTTCTTTATCTGAAAATGAGAGTTCATTTTATAGGCTTTAATTCTTGAAATCAAATTCCAAGTAAATAATGTAAAAGAGACTCTATGAAGGTGTGAAATCTGTGACTTCGGGTCATGAGTGTTGTTGACTCACGGGTCTTGCCGACTTCACGGTACCAAAAAAACAGTTACAAAATAATAAATAAATTAATAATGATAAAGCATTCTCACATTCCAAAAAAATACAATTCATTTCTACACTTTTGATATCATTACACCGTCATTACTTAAGATTTTAATTTATATAATAGTTGTATCATTTTTTCATCAGAATTTGTTTATTGTATGAATGAAAAAAAATAATATTCTCACATTTTTTTTATTTAAAATATATATTTATCTTTATTTATTTCAATGTTTACGCATCATTTATATTAGTTTCAATCATTTTATCTATATTAAAAGGGAGGCTAATATAATTATATTAGACATGTAAAATTAATTATATATTTTTTAAACCTGAAGAGAGGTGAGTATAATTTAGCCAATAAAAAAGACTTATCATGATTTTGCATTTTCGTAGGTGTGAAATCTAGAGCTGTGGTTCAAAGATACTATGAAATTTAACGGTCGGCAAAACCTAATACTCGTATGTCCTAAAAAATATATATATTCATGAAGACAAAGAAATTTTTTAGGCAAATTATGCTAGTGGTCCTTACATTTTGCTTCTTCTGTCATTTTGGTCATTATATTTTTTATTGGCACAATTTTGATCTTTAATTTTAAATTTATATCAGTTTGGTCCAATTGATAATACCATTAGTATTTTTGACTAAAAATAATCACATAATTGGTTGAGATAACTCACTAAAGTTAGTATATTTATAATTTTAGTCTAAAAAATATGATACATGCTACTTATATGCATATTTTTCATTTAAAAAGATTAATCAATTGGACTAAATTGAAATAAAATCATAAATTCAGAGTTAAAATGGAGCCAATTGAAATTACATTGGATCAAAATAACATAAAGAACAAAGTACAGGAATTACGTTCGCAATTTTTCCATTTTTTTTTTAACAGAAAGTCTTGTATGTAGAATTAGGTTAGGTTTGGCATCCTCTAAAAAAAGTCAAAAAGTCACTATCGTATTTAATTCACATCATCTTATTTAAGTCACATCACCTTTCTACCACATCACTTCAAGATCTCAAAAAAGTTAAAAAATACACTTATTTAGAAGATCTCAAATAACCTTTTACTAACCATGAACATTCTACAAACCCCAAAAGTCATGTAGTTGTGCAAAAGACTAAACATCCTGAATTTTAAATGTAGAGCTAAAAATGTTAACAAAAATTATATTTTAGGGAAAAAAATTACCATGGTTAGAGGGCTACTTGTTTCATCTTGATTGAAATCTATATTTCAATAGAAAACTACACGATTACTTATTCGTTTAGACTCATCCTCTTGAATTGTAATCCTCTACGTTATATTCCAGTGAGAATTTCTGCTAGGTGTTATGAAACTTCATATTTTTTTATTTCATTAAATAAAAAATGTGAATATTTATACTTTTTTATGCTAAAATCGCAAAAATCATTCAATAAAAAGTGTAAACATTCATTTTTTTTATTATGAAAATACAAAATTTATTCAATAAAAAATTATATATTTTTTTACGCATTTTACATTGTGAAAAATACAAATTAGTTACAAAATTTCATTACAAGAATTGAGACAATCTAACAAAAAATATTAAATTTTATTATTTTAATTAATAAATATCAAATTAGAACGCCAGATAGACATTTTCACGGAAGTAAAATATAATTTCTTAGGACAGTCATTAAATATAATAGCAATTTAGAGGTAAATCCCCATAGTCAAATCTATTCAACCTAATATGAACATGGCCAAAATCATCAAAGTTAAGCACTTTACACAACTACTCAAATATCATTTTTTAAATTTAAAGTACTCGGTGCATCACATACCTTTATACCAATCGCTGCAAGATTTGATTTTAATTAATAAATATCAAATTAGAACGCCAGATAGACATTTTCACGGAAGTAAAATATAATTTCTTAGGATAGTCATTAAATATAATAGCAATTTAGAGGTAAATCCCCATATCTAAATCTATTCAACCTAATATGAACATGGCCAAAATCATCAAAGTGAAGCACTTTACACAACTACTAAAATATCATTTTTTAAATTTAAAGTACTCGGTGCTTCACATACCTTTATACCAATCGCTGCAAGATTTGCGGGTGAGAGTATTTTCAACCAATCACTATTTTATTTATTATTTATTTAATTTTATTCTAAATTTTGGTACATAGTATTCCTGTTATGTATTTTTGTGATAAATATTATATATATATTTTATAAAGTTACAATAATTTGTTATTTAAAAAATGCACTACAAAAAACTTGCTTTTTTGCGACGGTAAAATACCGTCGCAAATACCCAAAACTCCCTCTCAAAAGCTTTTTTGCGACGGCAACGGGCTTTTAGCGACGGTAATAAGGGGGTCGCAACAAAGGGGGTTGCTAAAGGCCTTTAGCGACGGTGTGACGCCGTCGCAAAAAATAGACGACGGCAAAAGTGCCTTTTAGCGATGGCAAAATACGGTCGCTATTAATGTGTAGAAATTTGAAGTTTTTGAGACGGTACTGTGGTGCCGTCGCTAAAAAGATTATTTGTGACGGTAAAAATACCGTCGTTAAAAGTTTTATTTGAGACCGAAAAAATGCTGTCGCTAAAATGGTTATTTGCGACGGTAAAAATACCGTCGCTAAAAATAGTATTTGCGACGGTGAAGGATACCGTCGCTAAAGGCCTTTTGTTTCAATTTACTAATAATGCCAATATCTTTGGCGACAGCTATGCTACCGTCGCAAAAAACCTTTTTTGAGACAGTATGATACCGTCTCAAAAAAAAAAAAAAAAAAAAAAAAAACTGCAATACAATTATTAAAAATATGAAAATTGTATTAAATGAAAATAACTATAAAAAAAAAACCGATAATTATATAATAATATAAAAATTCCTGTATATAAAAAAAAATTCATCCATAATTAAAGTATTCTTCCATTCATAACAACACATCATCAAAATTATCCCACCACATAATGTTGCATAATACATACATAATGTTGTTCACAAATCTAATCAAAAATAAAAGTATTCGTCATGATTCTTCTGTGAGTTACAAAAACAAAAGTTTGTCACAATTTTCACACGCCTGCATTCCACAAGAAGCAAACTGCTACTCAGGAAATATCTGAAAATAAAAAATAAAAATAATTAATGACAATATAATTATGTGTTAATATTTTAATTTAAAAAAAACATAAAAAATTAACTACTATATAATTACAAAGATAGTTAAGTAAATAATTTTGGCTAGACAGAAATCCGACCCTAACTCCCAAATCGGGAACCTAATTCTAGCCCCATCTTCTCCCACAAGTCTCTCGTGCCTAGGCGGTCATGTGTGCCAAGTTTTGTGCTAAACCGACGTCGTTTGGTGATTTTGGGGGGTCAACACCTCGAATTCAAGTTTCTTAAGGAACTGGTTTACCTAGAGTGATATCCGACTCTAACTCCCAAATCGGGAACACGATTGGAGTCCTGTCTTCTCCCACAAGTCTCTCGTGCCTAAGCGGTCGTGTGTGCCAAGTTTCGTGCCAATCCGACCCCGTTTGGTGATTTTGGGGCATCAACACCTCGAATTCACATTTCTTAAGGAACTAGTTTGCCTAGACTGAAATAGGGCTCTAACTCCCAAACTGGGAACCCCATTGGAGTCCCGTCTTCTCCCACAAGTCTCTCGTGCCTAGGCGGTCGTGTGTGCCAAGTTTCGTGCCAATCTGACCCCGTTTGGTGATTTTGGGGCGTCAACACCTATTCAAGTTTCTTAAGGAAATAGCTTGCCTAGACATAAATAGGGCTCTAACTCCCAAACCGGGAACCCGATTGGAGTCCCGTCTTCTCCCACAAGTCTCTCCTGCCTAGGCGGTCGTTTGTGCCAAGTTTCGTGCCAATCTGACCCCGTTTGGTGATTTTGGGGCATCAACACCTCGAATTCAAGTTTCTTAAGGAACTAGCTTGCCTAGACCGAAATATGGCTCTAACTCCCAAACCGGGAACCCGATTGGAGTCTCGTCTTCTCCCACAAGTCTCTCGTGCCTAGGTGGTCGTGTGTACCAAGTTTCATGCCAATTCGACCCCGTTTGGTGATTTTGGGGCGTCAACACCTCGAATTCAAGTTTCTTAATAAACTAATTTGCCTAGACCGAAATAAGGCTCTAACTCCCAAACCGGGAGTCCCATTGGAGTCCTGTCTTCTCCCACAAGTCTTTCGTGCCTAGGCGGTCGTGTGTGCCAAGTTTCGTGCCAATTCGACCCCGTTTGGTGATTTTGGGGCATCAACACCTCGAATTCAAGTTTCTTAAGGAACTAGTTTGCCTAGACCGAAATAGGGCTCTAACTCCCAAACCGGGAACTCCATTGGAGTCCCGTCTTCTTCCACAAGTCTCTCGTGCCTAGGCGGTCGTGTGTGCCAAGTTTCGTGCTAAACTGACCCCTTTTGGTGATTTTGGGGCGTTAACACCTCGAATTCAAGTTTCTTAAAGAACTAGTTTGCCTAGAGTGAAATCCGTCTCTAATTCCTAATCCGAGAACCCGATTTGAGTCTCGTCTTCTCCCACAAGTCTCTTAGTTTACAATGCAAAGAATTCAAAGATACATTTTAGCTTAGAATGTAAAGATACATTTTATACCTGATCTTCTGGTGGTGATGTATATGGATTCTCGTCTTCTGTAGATTTCCTAAATGCCCGGTGGCCACTCGATGCATCAGGAGCCTATGATAGTCAATGCATAATGTGTTAATCATATTCGAATTT